GTCATCTAAATTAGTAGTCTAAGAAGTTTTATTAGTTCTGAGTAATAGTTAGTAAGAAAAAATAGATATAATATTAAAAAAAATGAGTAATAAGATTTGAGTAAACTTTATAAGAATAAAAGTAATTTAATGAATAATCCTGATTACAAGTGTTGATTACAGCTATAATAAAAACTAGGTTAATAATAAAAAGAAAATATGATTCACTCTAGTAGGTTTGTCTTAAGGATAAAAATAATTTAAGAATTATAGTCATAAGGTTAAGATAAAGATCTAAGTACAAGTAACTTAGAAAAGTTGATACAAAGATTTTAGATCAGAAAGTCTAAATAAAACATCTAAGCAAAAATGTTAGATACTGCAACTAGTAAAGAACATTCAGACAGACTTCTTAAATAGATAATATAAAAAGGTTACATACTATATGTAACTAATTATATGCTTATTTTGATGCCTGACAAAAGTATTAATAAAGTTAAAAGACTAAAAAGATTACCTTAACACTAAAAAAAAATAAAAGTATAGTAAATATATATATTGTTTATATATTTAAAATATACTATTCTGAATTTACAGAATATTAATATTTTAATTATTATTATAGAGTTTTACTAAAAATAATGTTTCTAATAATCAAACAAGTTTAACTTATTTTTAAAATTATCTTAACCCAGATTTTATATACATATAGTATACTACATACATTTTAAATCTAGGAATCAAAGAAGAAATAATACATTATATTTAGTAAGTAAAAAAAGTACAATGTATATGCTATAAAATTATGAATTTACTTTTATTGTTAAACAAAATGAAAACAATTTTTATTATTTTTATTGATTATTTTTTTATTCTAAACTTATGATCAAAACCAAGTAAAATTCTACTTATATTATAATTAACCAATTTATTAAAATTGAGAATATTATAGACAATATTGTAAGAATCCATTTTAATTTAAAAGAAAATTATTTAGAATCTAGAGATTGGGTAATTTTTAAAGAACTAGTTTAATTCTTTGAACCATTTTACATAGTGATGATAAAATTGTCCAAGACCTCAATATCTTGTATGATCTATTGTAAATAATTTTTCAAGAACTTTTTATACATCTTGATACTTATATTAAAAAAAACAAATAGAAATATATATTATGAAGCAACTCAAGGTAAGATAAAAAAATATTTTAATAAATTATTAAGCACAATTTGATTTATTTATTTTTTTATTTAGGATCAAAAAAAATTATTAAAACACTGAACTTATCTTTCAAAATCCTCAGCAATTCCAATTCTTCTTACCTCCTCTATCAAGTTTGAAACCTTTACTAATAATGATCATCAATTAACTATTGAAAACTTAAAAGATTCCTATTTTCTTTATTATTGGGTAAAAAGATAAAAGAATCTAAACAAGATTCTCTTAAGTACTTTCAGAATTTGAAAAAAACAAATAACAATAAAGAAATCACAGCAAATGAGCTTAATACTTATCTTTTACTACCATCAGAGCCAAATACAAATCCTATATGGTGGTGGAAGACAAGAGCCACCGTTTTTCTAAATGTAGCTTTAATACCTGCTGATCACTTTGCATTCCAGGCAACAAGTGTTCCATGCGAACATGCTTTTTCTATGGCGAAGCATACCTTGAATCTTCAAAGAAATAGCCTTCTTAAAGAATCTACAAGAGCATCTCTGTGTATAAAAAGTTGGTCCGAAGCTGGGATCTTAAATTAAATTTTTTTTGAAAAAATATATATATAGAATAAATTGTCGTTAGCGTTTAAAAAAAATTAGAAATGAATATCAATATGATTATTATTATTATATCATGTGCTACGTACTATTACTGCACGGACTTGACTTAAGGATCGACTTCAAATTGAGGTCCCTGCTCACCGAAAGAATCGGACTTTTAACAGCCCTAATTATCGATATCTATATTTCCACTTGTCCATGTCTAATTGTTATGTCAGGTCATATGTTTGACACCATGCTGATACGTGTTTTATTCATTATAGTAAGTACAGTTTTCGTATTTAAAATTTCCTTATTCATATTTTTTAAATCGAACACAATGTAATTATTGCAAATAAAATAAATAAAATATGACGCTTCGAAATTATTTATTTTCTAAGTATAACACAAAATTTGTGTATTGTTATGCAAATCTATTTTTTTTTTATGTTTTACTTTAAACGTAATAGTGCATATGTTGTAACATCATTTTTTTCTTACTAAGATATTTTAACTTTTTTGTTTTATAACCAAGAGTAGAAATGTGCGAATGCGCATTTTTTTGGTGTTTGCATTACATAATGTAACATAACATAGCATGCAATCATGTACCCTGACAGAAGACCTTAATTTCTCCAAGATCTGATTTTGCATGTGTGAATGTTGTCACCGATTGAACAAGGCATATTGTCACTTTTTTAGCAAGCTTCACGGCTTCTGTAGACAGTGAATAGACTTTATATTTGATGATTAGGCTTTCGACTATGATAGCAATGTAAGAACCTCAAGATTTTGGTAATTAGGTTCTGAAAAGATAGCAATGTAGTATTCAGGTTGTTACATAATTTTATACCCTATTCTTATTATAGCTACAACTGATAATTCTTTGGCTATTTTATCTGCTTCTAAAAATTTCTTTTTAATTTCATTTGCATTTTCATTATTTCATTTTATTCTCTAAGTTTCAAATAAACATCAAGCCATTTTCGTGGATCAGCATTCATGAATTTTAACAAATTTGATATAATAATCCAGAATTTCACAAACTTAGGTGATAATCCTTTACAATTTATTATTTCATGACCGATATTAATTTTTTGACTATAAAAGATCTTTGTTCAGTCTATATTTCTAACATTATGACTCTGAAGTCATAAATATTAGTTACTTGCGTAAACCTTTAACTTGATAAAACCTCGGGAGCGGCATAAGGCATCCACATTCTGAATTGTTTACATTATACTTTTTAAATATTATCACTAATATTTTTAACTTGCACAATAATACCACCTTTAAAGTCTTTATGGATATATCCTTGCTCGATTAAATCTATTTAAATCGTTAGGAATATTAAAAAGTAGGTATATTTAGTTTGTCAAGTAAGATCATGAAAATTTTTTCTTAAAAACTTATAAAAACATCCATTATCAGTGTATTAAAATACCAATTAAGTATTTAAGTTTTTCTGCATTTTGAGTCAATTTATATCTTTTAAGCATGCTACCTATATATATATATTTAATAGAATTTATAAATATATATAACGAGTTTAATAAACCACACAGTAATGATTAAAATTTAAAAAGATCTTTAACGCAACTGTACTATATGGTTAATGAGCTCTAACATATTTGTCATGAAAAATTATGTAGAAAATATAGAACCAAATACATCATTTTTTAAAACATTATCGAGATTTTGAAACGTAGACTACCCAGTTATACGTTCATAATCATAATGTCTAAGTTAAACTCTTTTATATAATTGTCAGTATCCTATATTAGAATTACACTACTCTTTACAAATGTCATATATAATGCAAAATATAGTAATTTATTAATTTTAGTTGAATCAAAATTATATAATAATTTTTATATGCACTTTTAAATTTAAAATGCTTACATTTCCTCATGTTAAGCATAATTTAATACGCATAATATATAATGCTTATCTTAAATCAGGAGTTAAAATTGTCTAAGAAATTTTTTTTTACAATTAATCACTTTATATGTTCAGCAGCTTAAGTCTGCTGACTTTAATACATTCCTGAGACTTTTGAGCTAATAACGTATCATTCGTCTAAATTATAAAGTTTATGCAATTAAATGAATTGCAACCTGCTTATCTAGGGTTTACTAATTTCCCCCACAGTTCCTATTGGACGAGAAAAAATCCTACTTTTCGATCAAATAATGAAAATGTCGTTGAAACAATATAAAGGTCTAATAGAATATATATTATACTAAAATTTTGCAAGGAATTTTTTTTTGTTAGAACACAAAAGGTGGTTTTATAACTAAAATTTTAAGCTACCGACGATTTTTGAAAAACTTTAAAAACTTCGATTTTTTTTTGAAAATTTTATGTTACACCTGATCTTTTAATTTGATTGGTAGATGAAAGGTGGCGTAGTCTACATTGTCCAATTAGAAATGTCATTTACAACTGTACGATTAGAACTGTGGGGAGAAATTAGGGATCCCTGCTTATCTATAATATTAAATAAGTTGGATTTTTAACATGTTACCTCTCAATATTATAATGATTATGATAAATATAGGAAACTGATATTTCCACTCCTCATTTTGATATTGTGCACTCTAATAAGATTAACTATTATAATATTTTAATGATTAACATTAGCTTGAACTAAAAAAAGTTTTATTCATTAATACTAGCACTTAAAGAACAATTTTGCGCGGGTATATTTTGTGGTTATATACTATAAAATATTCAAAGAATTGCAATAATTGCAATAGCAATATAAACCAAATCACGAATAGGAGATTTTGATTTTTATTTAAGCTTGACATTTGCTTGGTTTCGCTAAAAAGATTCTGTAAACTCAGCGGATCAATTTTATAATTATTAGCGTGTGGCAATACCAAAATGAGATGAAAATATTAGTTTCCTAAATATAACTTTATGCATAAATTGTATAATAAAATGTTGTATAATAAAATGATCAATTATTCAAGAATTATATTTATCAAAGTTAAAATTTTACTTCATAATAGTATATATCGCTCTATTATTGGTATAAAATTATTATTATCTTAACTCCCATGGAACGTATCAAGTGATTTGTTATTATTATAAAAAATTTTTATTATTAGATTTATATTTATTAATTTCATCACCTTTCCATTTGAGTGCGTGAGTGAAAACCAGGAAACCGATTTAATGATTTACTATGATCGGTTTCCAGGTTTTCACTCTCACGCACTCATTTCGTCTTTTTATAAAACCTATAAACTTCGGTTAACAACTCTTAACATTAGTATTACTGGTATCTAGTTTCTGAGCATAAACACGTACTCGCAGACCAAAAGATTCGTTCTCTATCATTTCATCACACATTTTTTTAAGCAATTCATCATATTCATCACTAGAAGCTTCAATTATATTTATAAGTTTTGGTTTCACGGCCACGAGACCGTTAGCATAAATTTGATACTTCTAAACAACGTAGCAATAAAATATCGACATTTTTTATTAATCAATAAATAGTATAGACAAATTATGAATTATTGTATTAAAATTTGTACATTACCATTTTATAAAACTTTTCACCACATTCAAAATCCATATGTTTCTTTATTTCATAATGAACGTTATGAAGGTGTTTATGCTCTTCTAAATAACCATGTATTTTATGACATGCCATTGAATCTAAACCGCTTTCATCAAATATAATTATCACTAAAAGAAGGTTAAAATTTTTTTTTTAAATTAATATATAAAATAATGAACGTTATAAAGCAAAAGACCGTCCTAATTAATAAATTATTATGATCCTTACTGCCATTCATAAGCCTTGTTGTTGCAGGCCCCATATTATTAAATAGAATTTCACCTTCCATTAACTAAAAAATAAATTAAATTAACCAGTTTTTAACAAATTTTAATAATGCATTTAGTATATATAAAATCAAACCTCAATATAACCACCAGGTTTTAGTATGCGGACTAATTCACTAATCACGGATGGCCAACTTTTTGTAAGTATACCGACATTTAAAAATCGTTGAAACACATAATCGAATGTATTATCAGCAAATGGTAAATGTTCTAATATATTTGCTTCAATAAATTCAGCATTTTTAGGTTTGCTAACATTTAGTTGAACAGGAGAAATGTCCATTCCGATAAATTTTGCATTTGGATATTTAGTTGCCATTTCAAGTAACCAAGAACCTCGACCTGTTCTAAAACAATTATTAAAATAATTATGATAATAATTTTTATGAATAATTATTTCTATTATTAAGTTATAATTTAAGATTATAATAAGGTAACTCACCCTACATCCAGAACCATTGCACCTTCCTGATTAAGGAGATGATTAATCGGGGCGAAAAAATTACTTTGCCAAATATATCTCTCTACGAAATGCAGAATTTGTAATCTGTCAGATTCATCGATATCATTGGGTAAATAATACATATTATTCTCTATATCATGATGTTTTATACTATCCTCGAAACGAGATTTATCGGGAACACTCTTATTTGGCTTTGATTTACTATTACATATACCCATCTTTGATAGAAAAATTTTACCATAATAATATTAATGTCGACAGTTTTTATTTGTTTTTCAAATAAGTACTAAGATGTAGTAATGTGACATTTAATCCTAACCAAATACCAAATTAGGGGAGCCTGGTATACGTATAGCGATAGTACTGTAGTAATTTGTATAAGTGCTGCACAAGGAAAATCTGTAAATAAAATTTTATTCGTTAAAAAATATTGTACGATTTTGACCGATCTTGGCACAATATTAAGGGTCAAATATTTATTTAAGGTTTTTCAATGAAAAAGTTTACTTACGTACGAACGTTTACCGTTTACGCTAACGAATATAAATCAACCAATCAAAACATCCTAATTTTAACATTCAATAACGATAAGTGCAAAACCACATTGTTTGGTAAATGTTCGGAGACTTTCTTGTGTTGCACTCATATGTATCGTGTGATTTTAATTTACAAATTTGGTAATTTAAAAATTATCCGATTTTAGGCGACCTCCAAATTAGGTGAGCCCTAAATTTTTGAAACCTTACAATGGACTCAATTCACAAGTGCAATACGTGCTGTTCAATATATCATAAATGTGTACAAGGACTAAATTCTTAAAATTCGCTAAGGTTAGGGTCAAAGTTAGGATCTAGAGAGTGATGGTTTATATAGTAAAATTGTTTAACGAAAACATTTTGTTAGAGCACAAAATGAGGTTTCTTATGCTGATTTTTGAATTATGAGCGATTTTTGGCAGAACGAACGTTGGTTTTGAATCTTCCTGATCGTGTTACGTTACACCTAATCTTGAAATCTGATTCGCGCCACCAACCATGTACACATTTACGATATGAGAATTAGATACTGTATGACGTACTTAAGTCTATTGTAAAATGACGGATTGGATGATCAGGTGGTTACATTTTTTGTAATAAACGTGTACAGTGGACCTAGTTTATAAACAGTGGTTATCATGACTACGAAGGTTATACAATGCATGCGTATTTCATTATAGAATAAGGTAGCTGCGCGCTAAAACCAGGAACGGGATAGTTGGTTACAGGATAATCATTTATTACGTAAAAAATCACATTATATAACGTAACAGTTTAGCATGTTATTAGTTGCAAGTGAAAACTGTCGCATTGTGTAATGAGACTTTTTACATAATATTACCTATCTATAGTTACAATTAAGTAAAAATCATAAAATATATGGTGCTGGAGGCTTATACTCGGCAATCATAGGAAATGGGCCTATGTTCTCATGATCCACTACTACGAAACTTTCCTGCCGCTTCATTCTACTACATTTGTGAGGGTGCTTTATTTTGAAAGTCTTGTGTGTAGAGACGTGTGAATACCCGTTTTTTTTTGGCTTTGCCTTACATAATGCAACATAATGTAGCACGTGTATATTATGCAATCATGTATCCTAGCAGAGGATTCCTGGCATGTGTAAGTGCTATCACCGATTAATACTGGATAAAAATGAGGACAAATATAAAGAAAGTCCTATAGATAATACAGCAATAATATTAGAAGTTAGTTCGTCATTAGTTAACTGTTAATACAGTTATAAATAAACAGAATAATGTTATGCTACTCACTTCACAGAAAAATTTAATGCGTTTATTCTGGATTTCAAATTCACTGTGGTTTCTATTGACTTCAATTTTGTATTATTTTTTATTCTTTTAAACCTTACTATTTGATTGGCTAATTAGCATGTAACAATACATAAACATCTAATTGGTGTCAATCTTTAAATAATACCGATACAAAAAGATATACCTTTGTTTTTTTTCGTTATATTTTTTTATACTTTTGCTTTATGTATTAAGATATTTTTAATTATACTACATTATTGTAGTTAGTTTTTATTTTATTTTAAGAAACACTATGTTAGCTCATTAGTACATAAAAGGTAATGTATCATAGGTTGTTTTCATTATTATATATTGCAACACATCTGCAGAATAAGTGAAAGAAAAAACTTGTTTTTCTAGTGAGTTTATCAATGAAAATTACATTTGGTTTATGGTACAGTAACTGAATAGTTGCTTAATAAATGTAGTTAAAAATCTATTTAATTGACTAATTAGTATATCAATTTTTTATATTGTTCAAATAATAAAATAGTCATCTTTGCTTATATACAAATTGTGTACATGATGTACAAATCATTAATAAAATTTTACAGGCATTTCATATTTTATTTTATTACCTATAGAATAATTTAGTCAAGTATAATCATATTTACTGATGATTTTTATTATGATAATACTTTGTTAAAATTACTAATTTTATATGTTTAATGAAACTCTATTCCTATTATATTAAATTAAAAAATTATTATATACTTTGATCTTTTATCTATTTGTTTGTTGAAGAGCTTAATTAAAGTTTGTTTATTGATACTAACAATATTTTGATAAATATTTTTGAATTATAAATTGGTTTTACTAAAACGCACTACTAGTGTTCAACACCACAATGATTTTCACCAATTAAATTATATAGCTGCAGTGTAACATAAAAATTAGGTGTAACATTAAATTTTATTTTTTTTATTACTCTTTTAAAAAAAACACTTATAGCTTAAAATTTTACTAAAAAAACCACTTTTTGATTTTTAATAAAAAAAATTTCTTGCTAAATTTTACTATATATTACATTTTACACCAATCTTTAACTACAAACATTAATTTAATATTTAACTAATTTTATTTTATTTATTATTATTTGTTTATATTATACAAA